TTTCCCTCAAAAAGGCCGTCCGAGAAAACGACCACATCCGACACGCGGGTTTCCTACGGCCCCTTGTCCTCCAATGGGCACGCGGGCGGGGACGGAAAGCTGTGAGGTGGGCAGGAGGCGTGCCCCCTGCGCTTTCGGATGCACTTGCTGTGGAGAAGCAGAACCTGACCTCCACCCCTGGCTTGGGCACCTGAGGCCGTCGGGCGGGGGCGGGGAGAGCGAGGGTCCCAGTTTAGCCACGTCAGGCGGCGGGTGACCGTGGGCCATGGCAGGGACAGCCAGACGACAGGGTCTCAGGCACTGCGGGCAGATCTGGGCGGGAGACGGAGGCCACGTTCGGACGCGTCGGTAGAAAAGGTCAAACACGTGCAAAGGAAGAGGGACGTGCACGAGAAACCGTCCCGGACCCAGCACCGCTCGGCCGGCGGAGATGGGGGTCTGAGCCAGGGCCCGAGGCTGGGAGCCCGTGCCAGGGGCTGCTGGTGTCCCCCTGGGGGGGTGGGGGGTGGTGCAGGGAAGGACAGGAGAGGGCCTGGCTGTGAACTTGGTCCTGGCCAAGGTGGGAGAGCCGGGGCGGAAGCAGCCGAGGGAAGGACAGCGCCGGGGAGCGTGGCCGGCAGCCGGGAGGCGTCCGTCCGAGAGGGAGGGTCCGTGGCCGCGTGCACCGGGGCAGGGGGTTTGGAGGAGGGTCCTCACGGCTGCCCTCACAGTCAGTTTCAAATCCCGGGTCTAGGGGTCACCTCGCTTTCCGCCTCCCCCAGACACCCGGTCTTTCCCCCAGACCACCAGCCACCCCCCAGAGCTGCAGCTGACAGCGGCCCGGACCCGATGGATGGTCACAAGGTCAGGTCCTCTGCAGGCTCAAGAGAACGCCTGGACCTACGTCAGGTGCCAGCTCCTGAGCCCGAAGGTGGAATGACCTCCCCACCACCCCCCTACCCTCCCACGAGACCGCGGGGACAGACCTCAGAGCTGTCCTCCACCCCTGGAGAGATGGCTCCCAGCACGGCCCTGAACCCCTAACCCCCAGTGCCTTGTGACTCTGCCCCCTGGAATCTGCCACCTAGTCGCCATCAGGGAGTTGGGGCTCCCGTTCCCTCACGGCGCCATTTATGATCAAGTAGGCAGTATGTCCCTCCTGCAGTTCTGGGGTCTGGTGTGTGGCTCTGCCAGCCAAGAGGACGGACTTTCTGCCCTTTCACAGTGGCAGGAAAGGACTCCCTGGCTTTAGAACTCAGAAGCCACAGACTTGGAGTTGAGGCGGAAGAATCCAGATGCTGGGGTGCTGAGCGCTGAGTGGGAGGCCAGGGAGGCCTACCGGGCACCGGTTCCTTCCAGGGGGCCCACGGGGTGCGCTCAGGGGGCGAGCCCTTTGGGGTCTTCACTGCCCGACGTCGCACTCCCCTCGGGTTCCCAAGCGCGCCTGTGGGGACGCCCCTGCGGATCCGGGCCCGAGCAGGTGGCCAGCCCTGCAGAGGAGGAGCCTGCGCCCCGGGACCGCCCGGCCGGGACCCTTAGACGCGGGGCCTTACCTGACACCAGGAGGCAGCTGCCTAGCCAGCTCCGGAGGCTGCGCGCCATGCCCGCGCGGGGAGCCCCGAGGGCGCTGGGGGCAGTGGGTTTACGTCCCCAAGTCCCCTTGGTGCCGCGACACCGCGGCCCGCCCAGCGCCATAGCGCTTCCGGGAGCCCGCGGGGCGTGGCCCCCAGGTTCCACTTTTGCCCACGCCCCGGCGTCCCGCCCGGCCGGGTGGGCGGGGCCGCGGAGGAGGACCGGGACCTCGCCCCTCCCTCCGCGGGAGTGGAGAACACCCGCAGCAAAACAGGTCCCCAAACTGCAGCGCGCTGTCCCGCACCGCGCGCTCTGAAAGCCCCGCCCGGAGCTCAACACAGGCCAGCGCGTCCCGGAGGTGCCACCTGGCCAGTGACTCTCCCGCCACCGCCAGCGCTGCGTTTCCCGTTCCTCCGGCGAGCGGGCGTGCACCCGGCGACCCCGCCTCGCCTGCCAGCTGGCTTCGGAGCGCTCCTGGGGCGCCTGCGGTTCACCCTTCCCCTTCTGGGGCAAACCAACGACGCACACCCAAGTCATTGATTTGGCAATGTCGTTTCTGTCACAGGACTGCAGGGGATTTCCTCTTTTTGAACTTCCCCAGCGGGGAGGCTGTGAACCCCAGACAGGGGAAGCGCTGGGGCCGCGGGGGCAGGACCCTGGGACTGTCGACGCGCGCGCCCTCGCCCTGCGCAGCGGCGTTGCGGTTCCGCGCAACCGTACAGGGGCCGGCAGACCCCAATCCGTGGCCCCGCGCGCTCGCTAAGGAGAAGCCGCTCCCAGAACGCCCCGCGTTTCTATTAGCAAGTGTTACGTGGAGTGTCCTTTCCCAGCCTCCAACCGCTATACAGAATTTGAAAACACACCCGTCCGCACGCTGCTGTACAAGATCGCCCCGGAAATCTTTCAAAATACGACAGTTGCACCGGGAGGGCAGGGAGAAGTGGGCTCCGGTGCGAGGAAGTCCCTCTTCTAAGAATCAGAGTTGCGCCAGAGGAATGCTCCCCATCGCACGACCTCTCCTCTGCGTTCCTTTAGAGCAATTATAAAAAGAACCGACTCAAAGTCCTGGAGCTAGGACTCATGTAATTTTTGTCCCCCCCTCCCCCACTTTGAAAGGACCCAGAAAAAGGTCTGAGAATCCTGCTCCTGGGCGAGGACCCTAATACACTTCGTTCACCCTGGGAGCCTCCTTGCAGCACCTCCGCGGGAGTCTTAAGTCCCCTGTATTTCCTGGCATTTGTCTCGGAGATTCCCCGAGCCCAGTCTGCTCATTTCACAAGTAGAGACGCAGACCCCGAGGGGCTGAGCCACGTGCTCAGGGGCACACAGTGGAATGGACTTCGGGGGATGGGTCCTGCCCTGCGCTGGTTGCTACTGATATTCCGGATGCCTCCCTGCGCCCCGCCCCTCCCCCTTCTAGGGAACTGTTAGTACGTATAGGATATTGGGCATCAGTGCACACCGCACTCCTCAAATCCTCACAGGTGACCTCCAGGAACTTTAGACCTTATTTCTTCTGAAGACCTCGAAGCACCTTTGCTTTTTTATCATCTCACTCGCTTTTTAAAACATCTTGAACTATGGCACAAAGGTCTTCTCCTGCGTGCAAATGTTTGCTTCCTCTGGCGCCTGCCCGTTGCCAGAGAGATTTGTGTGTGTGTGTGTGTGTGGGGGGGGTCTGTCTCCCTCACTCGGATGGAGGAGGGCTGGACGAGGGGCCGTGTTAGGTTCCGGGGTGCCAGCAACACAACAGGGCACCTGGGAGGAGCCTAACTGTCCGCGTGACCACGCGGAGGTCCCGCCGCCTTCCGTCACGAAAGCCGACACCCGAGAGGCAGGTGCTGATACAAAGGGAAATGCTTTATTTTCAGGTGCCAGCCTCCTGGGAGATGGGGACTCAGGTCTCAGAGCCCACCTCCCCCTCTCAGTGGAGGCAGAGGCTTTAGGAGGAGAGGGGACAGACCAGAGGACGGGGAGGGGGTTGCGAAGCTCTCTACACGCAGACGAGCACCGCCCGGTCCGGTAAGGCAGATGACAGTCCCCGTGCGTCACCCTGGCTTCACACCATCCCGGCTCCAAGGCTGCGGGTCAGCGAATCTCCTGGCGCTGGGATGCCTGGAGGCCTCTGAAGTCAGTTCCACGGGTTTTTACACAAACACGTCCTTCATCTACACGCCACGTACCAGGCGGAGTCAGCACCCACGGGGGCAAGGTCGGAAGAACGGCGGGGGGGGGGGGCGGGTTCCAGTTCCCCACTGTCACAGCTTCCCACTGTCACACCGACCAGACCTGCCTCACGTCACCTGGGAATGTGCCCTCTGCCGCCTGCCCTGCCTCTCGCTCGACCCCCGCTCTTCCCGGAACCTGGGGGAGGCACGGCCCAGCTCGCTCCTGCTGTGGACCCTGCGGTCTTCCCTCTCTCCCCCCACGCCCACCCTGGGCCACCCCAGAAAACCCCAGGGACCCCGCTCCTGTGGGAGACAGGGGCAGAAGCATGACCACCGGACGGGGCACTTTCCCTTCGAGGCCTGTCACTTTGAACACGTAAACGAACGCACACCACGACACCTGGTTTCCGCCGCCCCTCCCCCACCCCGGGAGTTGCACCGGTGATGTCACGAGGAAGAAGGGGGGCACTCTGCCTCCAGGACACCTGCTGGCCGCAGGAGCAGCGGGGGGACCAGGGTGCGGGGGAGAGGTAGATGTCAGTTCATTGTGGTTGGGGAGTCATCTCATTAAATAGCCATCCCCGGCGCTGACACCGGTGCCGACATCAACGTCCGACTCGGAAGTGTCACTGCTGCTGGAGGAAGAGTCTTCAAGCCACAGGCCCTGCCCGGGGTGGCCGGGGAAGCACTGCTGGGTGCCTTGTGCGTTGGCCACCGCAAGGCTTGTCCCTGTTTCGTCAGGGTCCTCCGGGTCCACTGTCTCGTCTGCAAGAGAAGGCACTGGGGGGACCTCTGGGTCGCTGTCGTCCAGGACCCTCACGAACACAGAGTTCAAGTCCACGTTGAAGAAGTTCCTGTCTGCGGAGCTCTTGGTGGAGCTGCTGTCCTCCTTGAACGCGGGGCCCACGGGCGGAGCCCGCTGGCCCTCGGAGGCCCCGCCGGCACACTCGGCGCACCGGGGCCTGGGCTCCGTCAGCAGCGACCGGGTCTCGTCCTCCGGCTCGGACGGCGCGTCCTCCTGGGCGTCGGGGCTGCTGTAGCCCTCCAGGCGGGCCGACGAGCCGGACGCCGGGCACACGGGCCTGATAGCCAGCCCATTCATGGTGTAGCCCCCTGCACAGGCTTGGACCACAGTCTCCTCGCCGTCGCTCTCGTCGTCATAGTCGTAGTTCCACACTTTCTTCTTTCTGTTGACGTGGATGACTTCCAGCACGGCCACGGCTTCCACGGGCGGCCGCTCAGGGAACGCCCAGGACGGCGAGTTTCGGAAGTCCTTTGGGAGGGAGGGAGAGAGAGAGAGCCCATCAGTTGTGTTTGTCCTTCCTCTCCACCGTCATAAAGCTGAAGGAGACGGACCGCGCAGGGGGGAGGCCGGGGGTGGCGGCGGCGGCAGTGCCCGGAGCTAAGGGTGCTAGAGTGTCCGCGGTGGGCGGGTTCTGCGCCGAGCGCCGACGGGTCCTTTCGCCCTCACGACCACGCGGGGACGCAGGCTTCCCAGTCCCGCTCCCGGTCTGCAGGGGAGGAGGGAAGCCGACAGGTAGGAAGCCGGCCCAGATGGGGCCTGGCTTCCAAACCAGGCAGGCAGCCCAGCCCGCTCTCCCTCTGGCCTCCCGTCGTGCTCCTGCGGGCTGGACAGACGGCCACTCCGGAGGGTATCAGGGGACTGTGGGTGAGGAGAGACTGTGGGGAGCCGACTGCATGTGTGGGGGCGTCAAAGCCCCCCCTGGACTGGCCTCCAGAGGGCCCAGGAAGACAGAGACTGGGAGCGTTCTCTTCCAGCCCCTGGAGGAAAGCGCTCCAGGGGCAGAGGTGGGAGAGCCCAGGAGAACAGGGGCGGCTGAGTCTCCAGGCGACGACGGGCCGGGCCGGCCATGCCACGCGGAGGGTGGGCTCCGCACCCCGCTGGTCTCTGGCTGCCCGCAGCCTGCCCCGGCTGCCCCGCTCCGCAAACTGGCTCCTCCCTGCTGTGCCCAGGCCCGGCCTTGGTGGTGGTGGGGGGGTTTCTTCTGCTGGGGTGTTCATCTCTTTTCTCATGGATTCACGGGAGCTCTTATACTGTCCGAATGCTACTCGTTCGTCAATGATTGTTACGTACACTTCCCCCCAGTCTGTGGTTTCATCGTTTTGCTCTGCTGATGATGGCATTTGAGAAAAGGAAATTCTTAGTTTTAATGTACGAAAATGTATCACTGTTCCCTCCCTCACGGTTTTTGCTTTTTTGTGTGTGTGTCTGGGAAGCTTCCTCATCCCAAAGCCACAAAGAGCCCCTACACTGCCTTCTGGAACATTCCCAGTCTTGCCTTCCACACGACGGTGTCACTGTGGATGAAACGTGGCACAGAGCGTCCCGTCCGCATCTCCTAAGGCACAGCCCAATGCCAAGTTCAAATCCCAGGGGCAGTTAAAGATCTCTAAAAGTACAAATACCGAACCAACCAATAGTCCTCCCCCAACCCACTGACCCAATAAAAACAAGAAAGAGAAAAATATAAATACCGTATTTTTCAGACTATAAGACACCCCCCCCCCACCAATTTGGGAGGAAAATGGGGGTGCGCTATGGTCCGAATGTAGCTTCACATTTACATTGGTGAAATATTATATTATTGATGTTATTAAGTATTTTATCATATTTTTTGCTTCCAAAGTTTTTTCCTATTTTCCTCCTCTAAAACCGAGGTGTGTCTTATGGTTCAGAAAATACAGTATGTCAGCCCTGGAGGGAGTATTCAAGGACGCAGCTGGTGAGGAATGAGATGAGGTGAGTCAGTTCCAACACAGAAACACAGGAATTTCTGAAGGAAAAGTTGCGCAAGTTTTCTGTAGACAGAAAGCGGCGGGACAGGGGAGTGACACATGAGGGGACGGGCCGTGGGGGGCCTCTCTGAAACGTGTGGGGCTCGGCTCGGCCCACGGGCGGAGACTCGGCGCCCGGGCGGCCCGCAGAGGAGGGAAGGCAGAGAGGCTGGTTTCGCTGACAGGGACGGGTGCACACGCGGGAGCAGGCGCCAGGCGCGGGGACATCCCCCAGGCGGAAGGGACCTCGGCGGCAGCGAGAGGCAGCGGGGGGCCCTGCGGCGGTGTGTGCCCTGACGGGTCCCCACCGCCGGCGTCACCACCGACGGCCTCCTCTCTCTACAAGGTGAGCGCACTCCGGGTTTGCGTCCCACGGGGTCGTCTGGAAGGAAAAGACAGCCTGTGCAAAACACGTCCACGGCGGAATTCTCAATGGCCAAAAAAGAAAGAGAACAGAGGAAAAGAATGAGAAAGGGATCGATGGAAATGCTGCAAAGCGCGGGGGGTGGGGGTGGGGGGGGATGACCGAGGGGAAGGTGGCACGCTCACACCCGCGGGCCCCAGCGAGCACTGCAGCAGCTGCAGCAGCGTGCGGACGACGCGGGGAAGGAACAGGACGTGGAAACCCCTGTCCACACGACGACGGCCAGGGGGCCGCCGCGCCGCCGCGCCTGGGCGCTTTCAGAAACGGGGTTTGCTGCTGTGCAAGCACCCAAGCGGGGACTCAGAACTCTGGAGTTAAAATAAAAAATGAAGACGGAGATGAACAGACCCCCCCACGTACCAGCACTTTGGGGGGCACGCTCCGTAAGCATATGTAGCCCACCCGTCTCAGTGTCATCAGGGCGCTCACAGCGACGGCCACGACGAAGGCCACGGACATGAAGGCTCCGATTATGGCTGATTCCGGTGACACTGTCGGTGAAAAATGAAATGACCGTTTCAGAGCGAAGCCCACGGGTGGGCGCAGGGGGACGCCGAAGGAGCAACAGGTGGATGGACAAGCTGCTGTTAGGTTGTTACATACAAACATGGAAACAGACAGGGATCCGAGTGCCCACTTCCTTTAAATGGTACAGGTTAAATGAGACTTAGTTTTCACAATGACGTCCCGAGGCAGACTGTCCCGTACGGTGCCCAGGAGCCACCCGTGGCTACTTAAATGCAGTGGGTCAAGCCTGGAGACCCCTCTCGGTGCCCGAGTCCCCGTGACCCAGGGCGGTTCCGGCTGCCCGCCCACACGGGAGCCAGCGCCCGAGAGGCAGGGGCCGGTGGAAGGGAAGGGGGTTTACTTCCAGGTGCCGGCCACCGGGCAGAGGGGGACTCAGGTCTCAGAGCCCATCCCCCCCGCCCTTGGAGCAGGCAGAGGTTTCGTAAGGAGGGAGAGGGGACGGGACAGAGACATCAGGGGAGGGGGCCGCAAAGTCCCCCACGCGCAGAACCGCGCCGTCCAGTCCAACGAGACGGGTGACGGTCCCGTGTGCGTCGTCCTGGTTTGGTGACCTGGCTTCCCCCCCGCCTAAATGCACGGCGGAAGGTCGGCAACGCTCCTGGACCGCGGAGGTCTGCAGGTCGGGGCCTGCCACTTCCGACGCCAGTTCCTAGGACTCCTCCGCGCACACGCTGTGCTCCTGCGAGCTCCACCCTGGCCGGCGTTGGAAGAAGCCAAGCCGGGAGAACGGCGGGGCGGGTGACGGCTCTCCGCTGGCGCAGAGCTGGCCCCACGGCACATGCCCACCCGCCACACGCTCGCAGGCACTGCGGGCGGGAAGGAGCGGGCCGCGGGGGTCTGCGTGCCTGCAACCCACACCTGGGCCGCCCCCGGGTGGACCGCGGTCACGCCAGGACCCCGCGCCCAGGCCCGGCTCCACTCTCTTTGCCCCACCGGGAGTCCCCCCTTAGAATCTCGTCCGCCTTCCTGTTGGAAAATTTCAAGGCTCTGCTCGAAAACAACCTGACTTCCTAAATCCGACTGGAAGGAGAGGAAGCCGGCAGTTGCGTAAGGACGGTGACCAGGCGCGGAGTCTGAGCCGCCCTGAATCAAGGGACGGCGGCCCAGGAAGTGGCAGGCACAGAAAACGGAAGTGATCCGCTGGCAGCCGTGGGCGACGCCGAGGTTACTCACGGTCCCGGGCTGCTGCTGAGGCTCAGAACCGACTTCCAGGTGGCTGTCTACAGAAAGCCACCAGCCGGCCGCCAGTTCGAGCCCACGCATGCACGCGGCTGCCCACGGCCCAGCGGGAAGGGGCGGGCTCTCCCTCGGGACGGCGCGCCACCCCCTGCTCCCTGCTGGGCAGCCACTACAAGTGCTTTCCAAACACCACCCACCCACCCCCGCCCCAGACTCACTGTACAAGAGCCCGCCAGCCCCAGGGCGGTGGACGCGTGTCTGCTCCACCTCCCCTGGCTGCTGGCGGCCTGGACTGGGTGTCCCGGTGCAGAGAACCGATCCACCGGGCGGTGGGGAATGTAGCCCGGCCCCTGATTCAGAAAACTGGTGGGGAGTGAGGTGGGCACACAGGACCCACGCCCACGGATGGGCTTTCCCGTGGGGAGTCAGCCCTGCATTGTACCTGGGCTGCTTTGAGGCTTGCTTTTTGCTAAAACTCCCCCACCCTGAATTGAGGCAGCAAACGTTGACTGCATATCTTTAAAGTGACTTCCCGAAATCTGAGCTGAACCTCCCGAGTTCAACCCCTTTTCCCTTTGCCCTTGAGCATTTCCTTCTTCTGTGACGTGATCAGCAACGTCCTCTCCCGTGCTGTCTGTGAGAGGTGACCACCTACAGCGAACCTGTGCACAGTGAAGGAGGACCATGCTCCATGTCACGTAACCAGAAAAGCAGTAAAAGCCTGTCCAGGCGGGGGCCGGGGCCCTCCCTCTCTCTCTCAGAGAGCAGCCATGCTGTCCCCTTTCCTCCACAGGACCCTGCAGTCCGTGCGAATTTGTCCGTCGCAGCCACAACACACAGGCTCCCCCCGCCCCCCCCGCCCCGGGTCATCCTAGGACTGGTTCTTCCGGGCCAGTACGTGGCTCCACAAAGCCTTGCTTTCAGAAATGCTTCCAGCCTCGAGGGTTTTCTTCATCAGTGACTAATTCAGGTCTCAAGTTTCCAAAGAGACCTTTACTCTTAATCACGTAACCACGGCTTCAGGCAAAATGGGTGGGGGAGGGGGAGAGTAAAGGCAGGTGGGCTCTCTTGAGGGCCGAGGGGGAGGGGGCCGGGTCGACCTCCTCTGAGCAGGAGCGAGAAAGGGTGGTGAGGAGGGTGGCGAGCCAGCCAGCCACCTGGGTTCCGGGGGCTCCGGTCCAGCGTCACCGGCCACCAGCGGCAACCTCCTGGCTCTCCTTCCCTGAGTCCTCGCCTGTGAAGCAGGACCGACCTCTGCCTCCAGGGCGGGTGTGAAGATGGTTAAAAACAAGAGCCCGAATGGAGTCCCTGTTCCTCAGCCACTGTCCCCAGACCACAACTCACTAACGCACCTAACCGCAGCCCGGCACCCGTCCCAGGGGTCAGGGTGGAAGCCGGTCCGTCTGGAGCCGCCTGACCACACCAGGGAGGCAGGGTCTGCCCGAGAAGACGCCCGCGCCCGGGAAGGGTGGGGGGTCCTCGCCCCCCAGGTACCCTGCTCTTCTAACGCCTCGGGCCCACCCGTTCTGCCGATGGAACCATCCCGTGTCGGACAGGTCACAGGGGCGCCCTCCAGTGGCTGGACAGGAGGCTGCCCGGCTCGTGAATCGCTTCAGAAAGCCAAGTAATCTTCACATCTGCCTGGCTGAGTTTTGTTCTCTAACATCATCAACTTGAGGGTTTATTTGTGTGACGCTGTGGTTTTAATAAAAAACACACGTGGGCCGTGACCCAGTTCCTGGCCGGGAGCTCTGGGGAGGACCTAGGAGCCGGAGCCAAGGCAGCGAAAGGCACGTCTTTCGTAGTTCGCAACCAGCCCCTTCGGACCACCACCAGGACTGAGCTGATGAAAATGACCCACCTCTGCGAAGCCCCAGGGAGGGGAGGGACTGGTTGCCAGGGGAACCAACCCTGGGATGAGGCAGTTGGAACTTCCAGCCCCGCCTCGGGGGAGGTGCTGGACACTGGATTAGTCACCAGTGAATGGCCAAGGATCGAATCAGCCCTGCTGACTCCGAGACGCAGCCCCATAGGAATCCTCCGTGGCTGGGTTCAGAGAGCTCGGGGTGAACACAGTGGAGGCAGGCAGGGTGGTTCACCGCATGGGGCTGGAGGCTCCGAGCCCCTCCCCACGCCTTGCCCCAGGGGTCTCTACCACCTGGCTGCTCCCAAGTCGTGTCCTTTGACAGAAACCAGGGATCTAGTAAGTGAACGGGTTTCCTGAGTTCCGTGAGCCTTTCTAGCAAATCACCAAACCTGAGGAGGGCTCTGGGAACCTCTGATTTACAGACGGTGGGTCTGAAGCCCTGGCGGCAACACGGACTGTGCCTGGCGTTTGATGTGGGTGGGGGGTGGGTGGGTGGGGGGCGGGGCGGAGGGCAGTCCCGTGGGACTGAGCCTTTCGCCTGTGGGATCTGTCACCGTGTCCAGGTATTGGGTTGGCCAGAAAGTCCACTTGTGTTTCCCGTAAAACAAGACACATTTTTCATTTTCACTGGTAACTTGCCTGAGTTGGATATGTTGAGTACGTTGGCCATCTCCTGCTACTGGCTTGCAGGGGGAGAGGCCCGGGGTGCTGCTAAACACCCTCCAGTGCACGAGACAGCCCCGCAGCAGAGAATTATTTGGCCAAAACGTCAGTAGTACCCAGAAACGTTGCAAACCACTTTGACACATCTGATCAGCCCCAGCCCCTTCTCCCTACACCGCACAAATCGTTTGTTTTTTGCATTTCAGCTTCATTTGTACCTATCTTGAAATAATAAAGCATAATATGCCAAAAATTTGACATAATTTCTTCCCCCTTCCCTATTCAAGTGGCTGCATGAGTTCTGATTGAGTTTTTTTAAATGCCCGCCGACGTGACGGCTGTTACAGCACCATCTAGCCAAACTGTTTCGAATGGACTTACAGACAACCGTGCGCTGCTAGAGCCGTCCCACCGAGAAAAGCAAATGAACTCTCTGCCCGTTCGGTGCATCGGCAATCTAGGCCCAGTGCTTTCCGGAGCTCCGCGAGGCACCTCGGGGGAGTGTGAAGTCGGAAGGGATGCCGGGAACCCGAGGATGTGTGGCTGGGGTGGACAGAAGTCCGGGCGGCCTGGGGACCGAGGACTTGAGAACGGCGTCTGTTGTGGGGGCACTCGTGGGACTGAGCCCTTCTCCTGTGGGGTCCGCACGGGCGCCTGGAACCCACCCGGGGGGCGTCGGAGGGCTGGTGTCAGGGCACACCTGTGGGCGTTTGCTCCCGTGTAGTATGACGCGTTTGGGGGAGCTGCTGGTCTGACGAACCCGCGCAGTTTTGGGTCGGTCCACGTTTAAGGGACATGATGCACGTAACAAGCTAAAGGGTTAAGATGCTTTTCCCTTTAACACTGGTCTGGGCGTCCCTCAACCCCGGGGAACACGGGAGAGTGCGCCCACGCCGGGTGCCCTGGAGTGCATGCAGCCCACCGGGAAGCCACACCCCCCGGGGCCTCCTGACCCTCCTCCCCTTCCCGCAGTTGCTCTCCGGCCGGTCACAGCTGAGGAGAGACTGTCTCTGGGGCTAGGAACTCCCGAAAGGCTTCTTTGGGGGAGAGATTCACAGCTTTTCCCTTCTGGCCACACAGTCGGAGGCCTAGTCGCTCTCCAAGACAACAAGCAACGGCGACTGCTCCTGGGCCCGCCTGTGCTCACTGCCAAGTTCTCCGTGCAGAGGAGGGCGGCTCCGGGGTCAGTCTGTGCAGGGGACCGACGCCTTTGAAACGTGAGGGCTATCAGCGTCGCCAGCGACCACCTCGGCCACATAGGCGAGTCCCCTTTCATCTGAGCTACGGCCAGCCTTCCCGAGAGCCAGGCCAGACCACCCAACGGCACCCAGCTGGCCACCCGCGCCGCACCTGCCCCCGCGTCCCCGCCTCCTCCTGCGCTTGGCTCGCAGAGTGGATGCCCCAGCAGAGCTGAATCTGCCCCCAGCGCCCTGGAGTGAAAGCGACTCCGCAGCAGGAGGACTCTGACCTCAAAAGGCCGAGATCTGAACGTCCCTGCGGTGTGGCAACTCAGCGGCGAGTCGCCGCCGAGTGGGGACTGGCCAAGCTGCACACCGCTCGGGGCACCCCGACATTCCGATCCTTCCCGTCGAACGGGGTTTCCCTCGGAGCAAAAGCAACGCGCGAACGCTCGAAGACTGTCCTACCTGACTGCCGCGCCGGTGGAAGGTGGGTGCACTTCTGGGGAGACCTGATGACATTCTCCACGTTCCTGGGGTTGAAGTAGACAGACACGCAGTAGGTTGTGTTGGGAATTAACTTGTCAAGGATGTAAGTGAAATTCCCTTTGGTGTCCTCATTTATTTTGAGTTTATGCTGTAAAAAAGAAAATAAGCAAAATAACCAGTAGGACCTGGACTAGAATTTTACTTAGAGGCAGGCCCCAAGACTATCTCTGGGGACTTGTCTTCAAATCTTGAAAAGGGATAGAAAGATCAGAGGTTTGGCAGGAAGTGTTTATAAGTCACCTGGGGCAAGCAATTGACCACAAAACTACATGCACATAGATACATCTTTAAACCGTGGAATCTCATTTTACGAATGAGGAGAAAAAATCCCAAAGGGGAATAAAGGTCTCCGTGAGGTCACTTTTGCAAGCTTATCCTATCTTGAAATAAAATTATTTTAGCAAAGGTATGCATCTGCTTTACATTTCAGAATGTGCTTTCATTAACATGAGCTCATTGGTTTGTCAAAATAGCCTGCAAAGTAGACATTATTCCCGTTCTCCAGGCGAGCAAACTGGCTCAGGGCGGTCAGATAACGTCCCCAAGGCCACACAGCTCGTCTGCGGGGGAAATGAGGCTGATGTCTGGTTCCCGTCTTCTCCCTCGAGACCCCTGCCCCTTCTTTCCCCGTAGCTCTGCCCCCTTTTGGGAACAGAGAGATGTTAGGAGGGTTCTTTTGTACAATGACTTAGAGTTCCCAGAGTACATTTTTTCTTAATGTATAAAAACTAGGATTTCTATCAGGTCTCATAGAGCCTTCTGTAATAATGTTTTTCTGCCAGTCTCTATTTGAAAGAAGGAAGAATTATTTAAAGAGAAACCCACACACTAAAAGCTCACGCATGGCAAATCAGTGATAAGGAAGAAAACGGAGATAGAGGCCAACCGGAACCAGGGCAGGAAGGCGCACGCCTTGCAGTGAACTGGTGTCTAAGGGTCACCGAGGGTCGCAACCTGTGGGCTCCCTTCCTGGAGCACCACCATCTGCAATGCTGGCCCCGCCCACTGGCCTCCGCAACTCCGCCTCCTCCTCCTGTCCCCGCCCCCCCACTTGGAGGCCCAGCCCCTGGTCCCGGCCAAGGCCGAGCCCTTCCCTAGCTCACGAAATCCCGCCCACTTTCCTCGGAGAGGCGCTCCAGCCACGCTCCCCCCCCCCGAAACATTCCACGGGCATACAGATGTGCCATCATCACTCCTGTCCACCTTGCGATGCCTCTCCCCGGACCCCACTTCCCGCTCCAGCGAGCACGGCGCCTCTCCCCTTCCTTTCCAGAGCTCCGTCCCTGCCTCCTCTTCCCAGGCGCGCTGGTCCACAGCGTCGCACTGCGGGAGACGTTGCCCGAAAAGCCCTTCTCCACGTGACGGTCCGCGAGGCGTGTAATTCCGAAGTCGCCTCTTCCTTCCCAGCCCCTGCCCCTGCCCCGGGGCAGTTCATACATACACACGTGACTCACACACACTGTATCACAGAGCGTTTACTTGTTTACGTCTGGCTCCCGGACTTGACCCTAAACGTTGGACAGACACGCCTGCATTTTGCCGTGTATAAGGTGCACCCACTCTCTGTGTGCCTTATCCGTGGGACCATCATACCCACGGTACGTAAACAGCGTACCTACGTATAATGCACATCCTTGTTTTTCCCTCAAAAATTTGGGCAAAATCAGCCTCCATGCTGGCCACAGCACCGGTAATGGAAAAGGCGCTCTGACCAGTGGCCCATCTGCAGGAAGCGTCAGCCAAAGAAAGGGCAGCTTCACGGAGGTTCCCGCCGGCTGGCACTGAGGCTTCCACTCCGGCACTCCCTGCAGGACGCCAGAGCCGGGCGCCCAAACCAGCTGGTGGGCCCTCAGCGGCGGCCCCAGGAGGCGGTCCCCGAAGCACCCACGAGCTCCCCACTCCGGCTGAGGGAAGGGGAAGGAGTGGGGCGCAGTGGGGGGCTGGGCCAAGGGCTCCTGAGGTCCACTCCCCCTGCCCAGGCCAAGGGGCTGCACCTTTCTCAAGTGCCACCCATTCTGGTCAGATGCGCCGTCTGTCCTCCTGCGGTCCATGGCCAGCATCCACGTGCCCGGGGGCCCTGGTGGCGCCGCCCCAGGCTGGGGCTCAGGCGTTTCCTCCTCCTCCTCCGTCGCCCTGTGGTCTCTCCCTGGCACCGCAGCCCGGACGCCCCGGGAAAGCCTTGGGTCCTCCAGGGGCCTCCGTCACACTCCATATCCAGCCCCCCGACCTCCCTGACCTCACCCCTCTGATTCTCCTCCCGGTCACTGCACCCCAGCTCCCGCTGTTTCTCAGCCCCCCAAGCACGCCGGTCTCAGGGCCTCTGACGCCCGGCATCCTCTGCTTGAAGCGCGGGGGCAGGGCCCAGGCCCTGTGGCCGACACAGGCTGACGCGAGCGTCAGCTGCCATCTCGGCAGGCCTGCCTGCCCGCCAGCACGGCCTGCGCATTCCCACTCACACCAGTGTCCTGAGCGGACAATTCAAGAGAACAAATCGGGTGAGATCCAGGTCTATCCCAGACCAGGATCACCCCAGGTTCCGGACGTCCAGCTGACTGCCCGGGGGAGTGGGGGGAGGACAACGGCCAGCAGGAGCCAACCTCCCTCCGAGTGCAGGACGGCAGCAGCGGGGGCGACGGGGGCCTCCGTGAGCGGCTGCGCTGCCCGCTTGGAGGCAAAGGCCGCCCCAGAACAGCACGCCGCCGCCCCCTGCCGTCCCTGCGCCCCGCACGCCCCGCTCTCGCCTCCGTGTCCCCTGCCCGCGGTTTGCTCTTTGAAAGGCAACTACGCAGCCGGGCGAGGTCAGCGCGGTCCCGTGACGGACGGACTCCGGAGAGCGGTTTCCTGAAGCCAGACCATCCGACCCACGCCCTTCGGACCCACTTGTCCGAGTCATCACACGCACCTTTAAAGAGAGAGAGAGAGGAAGAGCCAGTGTGCCCGCTCAGAACACGGCTTTGGGCCACTCACCTTCTTCGCGATCCCCTCCAGCTGCTCTTCGATGATGAGCGGGAAGTGACTCCACAGTTCCTGATCCTGGGGCCCCTTGGGCAGGGTCTCGGGGAGCAGCAGGGTCACACGAATGTGGTCCGTGAAGCCAGCGACCTCAAACTCGGGGGGCTCCAGGCGCACTGTCAGGGAGACAGAGTCAGAGACACCCCGCGTCAGTCTGCCGCGGCCGCCGTCGTCCTGACGCGGCCCCGCGTCGGCCCGGCTGCCCCTCTGCCCGCGGGCCTCCCGGAACCACGGGCTTTGGCTTATTTCTGGGGGAGCGTGATTTTATCTCTTGTTTTTTTTTCCACCTGGTGAAAACCGGGGACCAATGGAAGCGATTGACCTGATGTCACAAGAACGGGAGGACAGATCTGGGGAGGGAGGCCGTGCTTTCCCAGTGTTCAGGCCACATTCTAAATACAAAGCTAAAAGTGACTTCTTCCTGTGTTATTACAGTAATGTGTCACCGAGGCAGGACACGCACGGCAAGAACTCTGAGGCCGCGCTGCTGGCACTGGCCAGCGTCCGGCATCCTGGTGGCCAGGAAACGCCTTTAACCACGTAGGTAGGATAAATAGTAAACCGAGGCAGGGAGGAGGAAGGAGACACGTCTCACACGCTGACTCAGCTGTCCTGAGCCTGGTCCGATAACACTGCCAGGTGTTCCAACGTCACAGGAAACACTGTGTTAGCAAGGAAGGAGGGAAGTCCTTGAAATTCTATGTGGCATTTCCACTATCTGGGAAAGAAAGCCTTGAAACTGTGCTTTCATCCCAAGGCCTGGACTGTGGGAGAGGGTCCCCGGTGCCCACAGATGGAGCCCATAAAACAGCTTTGGTGAACTGCCCACCTCTGGTCACTGTCTGTTTTACCAGGGAGTCCCGGATGCTTACAGGAAGAGCCCATAAACAACTTTGGGTGACTGCCCCAACTTTAATGAACTGCCTCCTGTCACCTATTTTTTTCACAACAAGATGACCAAATGGGGTCTGGAGCAAGGTGAGGACTCCGGCTAAGAGACCCCCACACGTACCTGAGTTTGGGTAGTCACGTCCCCCAGGAAAGCTGGCACCACATTTACCCGTTAATCCATATGTAACTTTTTCCTCCTATCCCACCAACTACTTAAGTCCTCAGAACAAAGGACTCTCTCTCGCTCTCTCTCGGGGGCTCTGGGCGCTCCTGGCTCTCTGGCCACTGGGCCTCTGGCCACACAGGGGCTTGCCACCCTGGTCTCCAGCTGCTCTTGCTTTGGCCGCCCCGCTTTGCCCTGAAACCTTGCCCTTCACCCCCCACTCTACCCAGTCCCGTTCTCTTCCATGGGAACGGGTCGCTAATAAGCTGATCACACGCTAACATATGTGCCGATCTGTATGTAATTCTTTACGTGCGTCAGCAAGAAGAACCAGGTCTCTCCCGTCAACATAACCACTGGAGGAATCTCAGGACATGTAGATAAACTGTCCCTGAACAGGGTTAACCGCCCTGTCTCTGCCATGTGTGTGTGTGTGTGTGTGTGTGTGTGTGTGACATACACAAACACAAACGGAACTAGTGTGTGTGACCAGTTCACACCACCCGCCCCCGCTGAGCTACAAGTGCGCCATCAATGGCGCCAGTCTTTCCCCACGCTGTTTCACATGGTGGGTGTTTTCACTCATTTCGTAAACACACCAGCGCGTGTTCTCCTACGTCAGGGGCTGGCGAGCCCCAGCCTGTGGGCTGAGTTTCCACACGGCCCGAAAGGCGAGCGTGGTTTTCACTTTTGGAAGGGCCGCGAACACGGGAGGACCGGGTGGCGGAGACCGGACGTGGCCTGCCGTCCGCAGCGGCCGTTCCCCGGCCCTTCCCGGGAAGTGGGCTGCCCGACCTTCGACCTCTGCAGGTGTGCACGGCCGGGTCTCCTCCGCCAGGCGGCGGGGGGGACGCCATTTCACTGATTCCCGGTCTGACTCTGATTTTTCTGAAAAGAATCTGCGTATCAGCGAGTCTTCTCGGAGCCAAATCTTTGCTTTTGCCTGTGATCTCTTCGGGACAAAGTGCTGAAGAGGAATTCAGGATCCCGGCAGACACCTGCAAACGCCTCCTGCAGAAAGACCGCGCCAGCACGCTCCCGACACTTCCTCTAAACCTGGGTCTTGACACCTTTTTAAATACTTGCCACTTGGAGTCTTGAAAAATGCCCTCTCATTATAACCTTCCTAGCCTCTCTTTAGTGACCTGAATACCGTGACCCGTGAGTCGTGCTTTTCTTTCTCTGCCAGGTGGACGCACACAGAAACAGGCCCGGCTGTCACTGCCGCATGGCTAAGTGTGCCCCGCCTTGACCGGGAGCTACAACCGACACTTTCTCGTGGCCACAGCTCACGAACCTGGACGCCAGGAAAGGGGTGGAGCCCAGCCGAGCGCCACAGATGCCCGCCGGGCAGCCGGCTCCAGCCGCCGGAAGGAAGGGGGGTGCACCGCTCCTGGGCTGCAGACTTCTGGGAGTCCGGGCCCCCAGGGCAGACGGCCACCGGGGCGCAGGCTCGGGGAGGGGCTGCGGCACGAAGGAAAACACTGGCCAGAGCGCTGTGGCTGCTCAGACACCAGGCCACGTAACCCAGCTCCCTGCTCCCTGACTGGCTGGAAAACAAGCCGACCGACCCGCAGCAGGTGCTAGTGCCTGAACGTCTGCCTTCCATGGGCCCCGGCGACCGTCAAACAGCCCAGGGGACCGTCCCACTTCCGGCACCGGAAAGCCGAGGCTCGGCGGGGCCGAGGGGCCAGGCCACGGAGGCAGAACCAGGGCGCGAACCCGGCCCCAACTCGGAAGCGCCTTTGCAGACCCGCCTGCTGCCTGGCCCGGAAACAGCAGCGACCCTGGTAGCAGCGTGGAGGTGACAGACGACAGACAGACAGAGAGCGACTCACTGTCCAGCTCTGGGAAGATGTTGCGGAAACACTGCACCGCCGTGGCGTTCCCCCGGGACCCCACCAGCTGCAGCTCGTACATCTCCGACACGTCGGCCCACAGGTCCGTGACGTCACAGGACAGGCTGGTGATGTTGGCGCAGTGCTCGACCACCTCCATGTCCTTCCTGTCGCTTGGACGGCAGGAACAGAGACGGTCACGGGAAGACGCCGGCACTTGCGGGAGGGGCGTCCACCCCGGGCCTGGCCCGCGTCCTCCCTCCTCCGTGGCTCTGGCCGGGGGTCCCCGTGCCAGGCACGTGGTGGGGCCCACACCCCTCTTCAAAATGCAACGCCTCACCCTGCCCCGCCTACTGCTCTCCCCCCACCCCCCTTATCTGTGCATTTTTGTTCAGACCATTCACCGCCGCCGCCCGCCATGTTTCATCTCGGTTTGTTGACCGACATCCGTGCCCACCCGCAGAAGGTCGGTGCCGGCAGGGCAGGGACTCGGGGTCACGGCTGACCCCGGGGTGTCGCCGGCGCTCAGCAAGCATGGGCTGGATGAGTGGGGGGCGCAAACCCTGGGCGTTCACGGTGGAGGCCCGGGATCTCCCTGCCCCCGCAGGACAGTCATGAGTGGCCCCCCCCACCGCCGACACCCCATCTCTCTCCGGCTGAGGACCCCATGGCCCGTCCTAGGTCAGCCTGCGCTACACAGCACAACACAGGCATCCGATCTCTCCAGCGTCAGAAAGGCAGGTGGGCGACCCACGTGACCCCAAGCGCAGAGAGAGACCTAGTACGTCAGCAGGCAGCACTCTGGCCAGCGCCGCTCAGCTGCTCAGAGCGTCGTCTCGCAACCTACAGGCTGTGGGTTCGATCCCTGGTCTGGGTGCGAGGCAATCAATGACTCTCTCTCTCTCTCTGAGAGCAATGAAACAAATGTCCTCGGGCAGGGATTGGGAAAAAAAAAAGGCTTTAGAAGGCACGGAGGAGAAACTCAAAGGTCCTCCGGGTCTGTCCGTAGTTGCAACAGCTCTAAGCCGAGTAACCGCCGAACAAAAGGTCACCCCGAGGAGCTCTGGGCCCAGCTGTGACGTGTGGGGGTGCTGGTCCCACGTGGGAAGAAGAGAGCAGGGGCCGGCGCTGTCCATTCTGTCCTCGGTCCTGGCACCGGCCTCGCCACGCCAGGGTCCGTGCCCAGGCCGCCTGCTCTGGCCCCGCCAGGCCCCAGGCCTGGGCTGCGCCCACTCTGGGCCGGGACATTTTCTCAGGGGCCATCTGTCTGCCGGAGCGAAGGGAAGGGAATACAAGCCATCGATCCGGCCACCAGACCTTTGGACTCCTGTCCTCAGAAAATGACTCACTTTTTAAACACGGAGACTTACTGAATCAGAGAAATAATTGCGAAAACCACTCACAATACTTAGTTTGTTTCTGAGGCCTGGCACTGCAGAAGCTGGCGTTGGTTATAAATATGCCTGGTTAAAAACAGCCTTGAATCGTTGAAGTGTTCAACCTAATTACAAAAGCATTTGTGTTTTGTCTTTGGGGTTTCGAAGCTCTGAATGAAATACACGCGGGCCAGGGAGCTCTGTGGCCTGTGGGCCCTGCCCCTCCCCACCCCCACACGGCAGAAAGATAATCCATTCAGCAAGAGAAGAACAAAAGGTGGAACTAACCTCATGTTCGCGTACCATAGTGTGTAGTGGGTGGGCGCGATGGAAACGCTTCTCAGTTTCCACGATATGACCGGCCGGAAGTTCCTGAGCACCATGTTAATGTCACAGGGCCCGTCGGAGAGTTCTAAAGGCAACGGGGACGGAGTGATCACACATGGGAACCGGGCACCGGCGGGGTGCTCGGGGCCACGGCCCAGCCCGCCCGCTGGGTCTGCCGCCCACGCCCCCGCAAAGGAGCCCTCCCTGGGGCCCAGCGTTCTCGGAGACACCGGGAGGGGAGACGGCTCTGCCGACACGGGACGTGAACTGATACCATGAGTTAATTTTTTTTTTAAGATTTTATTTATTTATTTTTAGAGAGGGAAGGGAGAGAGGGAGAGGGGGAGAGAGAGAGAGAGAGAAACATCAATGTGCGGTTGCTGGGGGTCGTGGCCTGCAACCTAGGCATGTGCCCTGGCTGGGAATCGAACCTGCGATGCTTTGGTTCGCAGCCTGCGCTCAATCCACTGAGCTACGCCAGCCAGGGCACAATGAGTTAATTAATAGGCCCTGTGATGTCAGGGCAGGCCAGCTTGGGGAGCAGGACGTCCGCCATCGGGTGGGCAGAGCCGGAGCTCACCCAGCTCTTGCCCGACTCGCAGGGCCCCCTGCGAGGGCTCACAGCAGCCAGGGGTCCTGGGCCAGCCCAGTCTCTCTGCTCACCTCCCAGCTCCTGGGGCAGCCGGTCCAGCCCTCCCTTTGCAGCTCCTCCCACCACCAGCCTTTCCTCCTCCGCACCCCCCACTACACTCACCCCCTGTCTCAGAGTGGGGGGGACAACAGTATGTGCCTGAACAGCCCTGACTGGGCAGGTCACCCCACAACAGTGCTGAAGGGGGTGCCGCAGAACCATGCTGCAGACCGTGACGTGGAGAAGTGGGGAAGTGGGGGTGCCCAGTGCTGGCGGCGGGGAGGTGTGAGCTGTCGGCGTGCCTCTGAGGTGCCATCCCCCCCCACCCATGCTGGCCCCAGGACTGGGTGAGTACTGGACACAGAGTGAAGTTCTGGGCACAGAGTTACACATGTAGGCAAGAAGTGTACTTTAAAAAAGTATCTTCCTGCCCTGGCTGGTGTGGCTCAGTGGACTGAGGCCGGCCTGTGGACCAAAGGGTCGCCGGTTTGATTCCCAGTCAGGGCACAGGCCTGGGTTGCGGGCCAGGTCCCAGGTAGGGGGTGCCCGAGAGACAACCACACATTGTTTCCCTCTCTTTCTCCCTCCCTTCCCCTCCCTAAAAGTAAATAAATAAAACCTAAAAAAAAAAAAGAAAGAAAGAAAGAAAGAAAGAAAGAAAGAAAGAAAAGTATCTTCGTTTCTCTGAGACCAGGTAGTGAATAAGGGTTAGAAGAAGGCACTTTAAAGGGAAATTATTTTTGGATCATTTTTGTTTGGCATTAGCTGTGTCTCCCCATTCTTCTAGGAAGGAGTTTAAGTGGAATATTATTTTAAGGGGTTTTTAAATGATCTCTCTAGCGTTCATTTCTTACAATAGTTCCGTCAGACCAATGTGAAAACCAGAACTGGCTGATTCTGCCTCCTTTTCCAGGGAAAAAGTATTTGAGAAAAAGATTTCAAACAAAATGGGCCACAGACCTGGGACGGGAAATAATCGAACTTCCCACACTTCGCAGGACCGCCCCTGCCCCCTCCCCCACGGCAGTTCTGAACGCCCGCCGGCCCGGCCCTGGGACCCTCACGCGGAACTGAGTCGGGCCGGGAGCAGTCCCTTACCGGGCAGAGGCTGCGGCGCCCCGGACATGAGGCAGATGCTCCCTAGGGAGAAGAGAAACGCATTAGGCAAGCGGTACTTTCTCCGGGTTCAACTTGTGATCGCTGTTCTGAGTCTGGTGTTCTTTTACACACGTGTTACTTGTGAATGAGGACTTCCTGTGCTAAACACAAAAAACCCCGAACAGACACTGAAGTCGATCCTCTTAGATGGTGGACACGGTGTCGGCAGCAGCCGGTCCGGGGAGTTCGTCCTGAGTGGACCCCAAACGAGACCTGCGTGGGACCCTAGTGACACTAACGACAAGGGCCGGCCGGTTGAGGAAGTGTTCTGAGAACCCGACTGTCCGGAAAAAGTCTCCGAATATGAACGAGCATGCTGCTAATTAACAGAATGGAGAGGTAAGGAGAGTCAGCGAGAGTGGGGGCGGGGGGAGGTGTTGGGCACGGCGGGTGGGCTGCGGCTCCGCTCTGCGGGCGGCGCTGTGAGGGGCGGGCAGCCCCGGATGTCACGGCCGCCCCTCGAGGATGGCCCTGCCCGGGAGATGTCCCACACTCACAGCCACGGAACAGGTGGCACAGTGAGGCTAGACGAGAATCGGTAGGAAGGTAGCGAAAAGGCACAGGACGACCACAGGAAGAGGTCGGTCACGAACAGAGCGTTAAGCCAGAGGTCAAGGACGGACTCCTGAGTCCGGCCGCGCTGGCGGGAGAGAAGGGCCTGGGCTCTCTCCAGACAAGGGCAGGGGGTCGATTCCACCGGGTCCGAAGGAGGGCGTGACGAGAACGGACTCTGCAAACCACGCAGGACAACATTCCCCACCGTCGCTGAACCGTAAGTCATTCTGCTCATTCGGCTCTCTGCCCCCGAAAATCAACAGCAGGTCACAAACCTACACGGACGCCACGCCATCAGCGCAGACGTCCTGTCTGCGGTCCACCCGGCCCTCGGCATCGCGCGCGGGCTGCGTGGGTCCCAGCTGGCTGCTTCACCCCCCCCCGCCCCCCGCTAGGGCTGTCGGCGACCGTGACCGCACAGGCTTGCTCCCACCAGGGCCGCGACGAGGAGCAGCACTTACCCAGGAGACACAGGGCGAGCGGTCTACCGGCACAGGCGTCGTGGCCCCAGAGCATCCTCGTCATCTCGAGAGTCCTTCCTCGCGCTCACATCTGGAAGGGAACCAGCGTCCGGAGATCAAGCCACTGAAGTGTCCCGTGCAAAGGGGCCCAGACCAGACAATGGACACAGACAACAGGGACGGAGGAGAGTCCTGGTCCGGCCCCAGCACGCCTCCCTCCCGGGAGCCTACCACCCCCGCCCCCTCGTGCTGGAGCACCCTGGCCGGGACGGGGGACTGCAATGGAACGCTGGTGCAGTGAGACAGCCCTCCGGTTCCAAAGCTTTCAACACACAAGAAGCAAGTGGTGAAGAGACCTGCTCCCCTTAGAAAAGTCCATTATCATCATCATCATCATCGTCGTCGTCATCACTTTTTGGTAAGCCCCTCAGGTTAATACCTTTATGCATCAGCAAAAGCAAACCGAGGTTACTTCTCCCGTTTTTGGGACAAGGGTTGGCACACGTGCGTTCCCCGCCCTCCCTCCCCCGCCTTCTCCCGAGGAGGATTCGGGAGGCCCTTCTGCACCAGCACCCAGAGGTGCTGCCGTAGTTGCTTCAGACCGCCACGCCGCCCGTCCGACGGATGGGCATCACCTGCATCCTCAGTCCGAACGGGGGCTCCTCTAACCACTTCTCCCCTTTCCTGCGCTGCATCACCTCAGACATGTGCCCCCCCCCCCCCCGCCTGCGCGGGGGCCTGTCTCCGCGGAGGGGACCTTGTTGGAACTGGGGTCGCTGGCAAGGGGCCGATCGGTGAGGGTCCCAGCAGCGAAGAACAGGTTTAGAGACAGTCTTTTTTTTTTTTTTTAGAATTTTAAAAAAGATTTTATTTATTTATTTATTCTTAGAGAGGGAAGGGAGGGAGAAAGAGAGAGAGAGAGAGAAACATGAATGTGCGGTTGCTGGGGGCCGTGGCCTGCAACCCAGGCATGTGCCCTGACTGGGAATCGAACCTGGGATGTTTTGGTTCGCAGCCCGCGCTCAATCTACTGAGCTACGCCAGCCAGGGCTCCAGACGGTCTTTAACCCGATGGTGAACAGGCTGTAGGTGGACCACGAGAGTGTGACAGGGGCTGTCAACCCCTGGGCCCGAGGGGCAGAGGGCAGGTGCCCACGTGGGACGCTGGGAGAGGAGAATGCGGGGTGAGGAGCTGAGGGGTCAGTACCTGACCCAGCCCTGCCTTCCCTCCCTTCTCTCGGGGCTCCACGTGGGGGGGGGTAGTCCAAGCCGGAGCCAGAGCACAAGGATGCTGGTAGCTGCACCCCCAGAAGACAGGACGCCAGGGCAACGTAAAGGGTGGGGACAGTGGGGGCAGGGAGGGTGGGGCAGGTCTGGGGGGTAGCCGGAAGAGACCGGGTGCGAGGATTTTGCATCTGTGACTTCGGTGGAAAAGGCCGAGGCCCCAGCCACATGGCCGCCCCCGCACGGGGGTGAGGGCTCCGCCTCCCCACGGCCTCCTCCCTGGGGTGGTCAGCGAGCTCTGGGGTCTCCGAGAACCAAATTCATAAACGAAAAATCGTTCTCTAGTCTGCGCGGGATCGAGCCTGTCTTCGCATCTGCGGGAGCCGCTCTCGTTAACCGTCCTGTATCCTTGCCCGTTTTCCCACCGAGTCGCTCCTCCGTCCCCCCGACTGGTTTGCAGCGGGGACCCCGGCCCTCTGTGACGGCTCATCTCTTTGGTCCCCTTTCCTTGCCACTTGTCCCTGGACTTGCTTACACCGGAGTTTGTTTTTCATCACGCACAAGTTTCTGAGTTTTATGCTTTCGCGCCTAAAGGGATTTTCTTTCTTAGAATCTGCGTTTTCCGTCCGAAAGTCTTCCTCGCTGCAAGGTGAGAAAGGAATGCTTCTCTCCCTCCCAGTTTCTGTCTCCACCCGGACGCCGCCGGTGCTCCAGGACGCTGGGGTCCCTCTGTCCCCGACGACACTGGGGCAGCCGCCAGCCCCAGACCAAAGTGAAACACTGGCCACTAAAGAGCAGGGGACTTCAGGCCACAAACAAGCAGACAAGACCTCTGGCCCACCTCGGGAACAGTGATGGAACGCCCCTCAGGGCACGCCAGAGAAGCGTGGGAGGTCCCAGCCGGAGCTGCCGCGGGCTGCAGGTGCCGCACCCCGAGAGCTGCCCAGGGCCCTCTGCCCGGAGCTGACCCCACGACTCTGCACCCACCGAGAGCATCCAGACCTGCCGTCATCGCCATGTCCCTTCTCAGCAGAGGGCGCGTGTGGCTGTGGAATGCCCCATTGGGGGGCGAACCCCTTCTACCGGAACGTCTGCCCTGGGGCCTGGGCCCCTGTGTCTTTCGCTCAGACGGTGGCCCCTCCCCGCCTGCGAGCTACAGCAGCCGGGAAACACAAGAGTGCGCGCGCATACACACACACATGCACGCACAGCTACCCAGTTAGAAGTCCTCTCCTCTCCCCTCCCCCTCTTTGTTCCCGGTGCCTCCCACTCCCACTCCGGTTTCCAGCAGCTGTCTGGTAACGGGCTCTTGCCTGCCTGAAAAATCAAATTTCTCCTCTTGGCCCCCTGCCTGAACTTGTTCGTGGAGTTCTTAACTCTCTCCCTGACCGCAGGGAGTTCGGCCTTCCCGAAGGCCAGCCCTCGGCCGCCTCCGCTTGGGTCCCAGGCCCTGCACGCGGAGGGGCCCCAGGCTCGGGTCCCTGCTCCCCTGTGGCTGCGGTGAAATTCTGCGAAGCGTTCTCTCTGCACTGGTCTGTTGCTGGTTGAGTCTGACCGTGAGTCCGGGCTCACTTGGTCTGGCTCTTCCCTGCCCCCCTCCCCGTCCCCTGCAGGGGGAGGGGCTGACCGCCGTGGGTGGCTGCTGGGCTTCACTGTTGGGAGAGCCTCCTCCTGGAGGCCTTCCCAGGAGAGTGGAAGCCGCCCCACCCTGCTTCCCCCGGGGGTGGCTACTCTGCGGGGGGTGAGATCCAGGTCAGCCCTGACCCCAGCACGGCCAGCCGGCGGCAGAGGGTTACAGACCCGTGGGCGCTGTCCGTCTGCTGTTGGCTGGGAGGGCGGGTCCAGGCTGGAGTGTCCAGGCCCGAGTGCCGGGTGCCCAGAGTCGCCCCCGGGAGCTGCACTGGGCCTGTGTCCCTGGGCTGGCTGTGTGCCGGGGGACCCCCTCTCCCCGCCTCTGGCTTCCGCTCCCCTCTTCCGGGAGGCGGGCATTCCCAGCACCAAGCTAGGGGTGCCGTGACTGCAGACCAGGGCACCCGGCGACCCCCCCACCCGGGCGGTGCCCTCTCACGCCCGCGGGCAGGTTGGGCTTTGCCCCGTGGAACGCAGATTGGTAAGAATCAGGCCAATCATCCAGAATTTTATTTTTTAACGTAATGGAACAACATGAAATGGCAAATCTAAAAATGACAAGTTTGAGACACAGAGACCCGGGAAGAGAAAAGAAAAAGCTTTATATTTTGGTGTCTTTTAGGGATACCTTTCCCCGGGAAATGGCATTTTCTTTTGGCCTCCAGACCACTCTCGTTTCATTTCCGTAACGCTTCTCTCATCCTGCTCTCCCTGGCACCTCCTGCCCCATCTGCCGCTCGCTCTGCTCTGGGGACGCCCGTCATCCTGGTACCTGATGGCGCCGTCTCTGTCTCCCCGCGCTGAGTCTGTCTAATTGGCCCGTCTTCGCCCCTTCCCATCTGCCCTCGCTGGGCTCCGATCCAGCCCGTCCGCGCCGAAGACACGTTTATTCTCGGCAGCGTCTGTTCCGCGCCTTGCTCGCGCGTGCCTCCTGCGACCAGCGTCCCACGGCCTCCTCGGTGTGTCCCCAAAGCCTGCCGCCTCCCTCGTCATCTCGGTTTCTGGGAGTTCCTCCTCCTGGACCCCCAGATGGGAGCCTCGTTTTTTATCGGGTCGGAGCAGGTCCACAGGCCGCTGGGAGAAACTCCCTGCTCTTCCGAGAGTCACACTCTCTCCTTTCTCTTCATCCCCACGCCAGTCCTGTTCGCCTGCTCGTGCCCGGACCGCTTTGTCGCCTGTCACGGTGACACAGCGGAGGGACAGCTTGACCTCTCCGTACGAGTGTGCCTGATGCCGGCTTGTTCGAGGGACTGGTGCTGAGACGGGGGCGAGGGAGCCCACGCCGGCCAGAACACCTGGACCCCGCCCCTCCAGGGAGGTGTCCTGGGGCGGGGGGCTCCTCCGTGGGGGGAGGGATGAAGGCCAGGCCGCACAGCTCTGGGGGTCGTCCTCCTGACCCTGCTGCTGGCTTTTCCGGCTCAGTCAGCCCAGCAGACTTGCCTCAGCTCCCTGACCTCTGACCTCTGTCAGAAGGGAGAATAGGTAAATGTGCTAAAACTCATTTTCTTTTGTGCCAACTCATTTGGAAGCATTTTCAAGATTTTTGTTGACTCACCAGTATAGTGTCTGGTGACCAGGTGCACGCGAATTTTAAATATTTTTAAAATCCTCAGAATTGCAGCAACAACAACAACAACGGCAACGCTCGAGAACACCTCTCCCTCGTCCGGTCTGCAGAGCCCTGGCTGGCAGGGCAAGGGGGCGCACGCAGCCCCCTGCTGGCTCCGGAGATGCGGGCGGCAGCGGCTGGGCCCCGTCCCCCTCGCCCAGCGTTCCCTCCCGTTTTCTCGTTTTCTCCTTCCTCCAGCTCTGCGCACCCTCGCTCCAGCCACCCGCTCTCCCAGCCACACGCGTGTCCCTGGCTCTTCCCAAACTGAATGAAACAACCAATTTCACGTTTCAAAGCAACGCACGTCCTCAGGAACAGGGGCGGTCCAGCTCTGCTCCAGCTCAGACTGGATTTCCCACTCCGTAGGAGGCCCACTTCCTCCCGACACTGGACGGTCCGGGAATCCACAGTGCTCCCTGCAGGGGCGCTGCGGGGGGCGGCTGGCAGCGCGGTTTTTCCTCGGCCACGTGAAATCAGAGCGCATCTCACTGCTCAAGAGCATTTCAGAGTCGGGAAAAGATAATGCCGGAGTCAAAGAACATACATGCCAGGGACTCCAAGCGCTGGAAGGTTTATAAATGTATTAAGTGCAACAGGAAAGTGAGTCCACTACGGCTCTGTGGGCGCAAGTGGGAGGAATGGAATATTTATGAATATTTATTTTAATAAGTTTCACTTTCAAGACAGCATCTCTGGGCTACGGTTCTAACTTTTCATAAGGCAAATTATAATAATGTTTGTCAAATCATACGAACCACATTTCAGGCAGATTTTCTTTAATTTTCAAATAAACACATGAGAAACTTCAGAGGAAATACAGATACGACTAGAAGAGCCGTGCAGATTTTTGATGGTCTAAGAGTGAGAAGTAACTTGTGAAGTACAGAACGTGCAAGTTGAAGTCACTTCCTGGGACAAATAGCTAAGTCCTACCCAGCACACCACACGCTAGGGACGTCTCCCGGATGTTTCCTGGGTTTTGGGTTTCTGGGTTTTCTTGGGTTTGGGTAAGGCACTGCACCCGCCCCGTTCCTGCCCAGGGGTGGGTCCGGCGTGGCCTTGGAGGGCCCCACAGAGGGGAGGGGGCCACTCCAGGACTCCCCACACCCGCCTCTGCCCCCCCACCTCGCCCGCTCACAGCTGACCCTGGGGCACGTCAGACTGGTTTCTAAGATCTCTTGCCCCCGCCCCCGCCCCCGCAAGGAGGCGGGGTACCTAGCGTTTTCCAGTGAGTTGACTGTTTGCCCGACTCCTAACTGGGTTTAGCTGGTTGATTTGCTCGGGGCTGAAACGCAGGAGCGGATTCGCTCGCAGGCCCTCACCCCCTCCCGACCCTGGAGGGGGTCCACTCCTCTGCCTCGCCCCCTCCGGCTTCCAAGCGACCGATCTGGCGGGACGTGGGGCGCTCGGCCCCGGGCCCCTCTGCGCCCCTCAGTCGAACGGCTCACACCCCGCAGCAGCCAGTGCCCGGAGTCTCGGGCATCCCTGCTGGGGGAGAGCCCAGGTCCGAGTCGGTAGGAGCGGAGCGCGGCGCTGGGGACACAGACAGAAGCCCGTAAACCCGCAGGGCCCGGGTGGGCCGGGGCTGCGGAGCGGAAGGCATTCCGGAGGAGGGATTCCGGGAAGCGGCTGCAGGGACACGCGTCTGCTGAGCGGTCACCGCGTGGGCCATCCCTTCCCCCTCCGGGTCATTCTTTCCCCCTCCCCGCCATCCAGCGGTCTACGACCTACCTTGGCAGTTTGTCGCCGCTACAGTCGGGGACGCGTGGCCGCGGCCCCGCCGCCTGCAGCCGGGCTCCGCCGGCGCCCTTCCGCACCCGGTTCTGCGCCCCCGGGGTTGCACTCGGGGGCGGCCCCTCCGCTGGGCGCGAGCCAGATGCCCGCAGGGCGGCACGCAGGGGCCTGGAGGCTCCGCTGGGCAGAGCGTTGGGCTCAGTCCTCTTCGCGGAAACGCGGAGCAATTTCCTAGAGCGGGTGCGCGCGCCGAGCGCCCGCCTCCTTGGGGTCGGGGGCGGGGTCCCGGATTACGCAATTTGCAGACATTTGCTGAGTTGGCCCCCGGCCAGCCATCCGTACCGCTTCGCCTCCGGCCCTCCGTAGGGGAAAGGGAGAAGGGGGCTTGGGCTGTTCTGTTTCCTGCGGTTACCTCCGGGGCGGGGGTGGGGTGGGGGGCAGAACAGTGCCTGGCGCTTAATTTAATTCATTCCATTTAAAGTGTATTCAATGAACGTTTAGGAAGAATCAGCATCCGTTAAAATGGCTATACTACCCAAAGCAATCTGCAGCTTCAGTGCAATCCCTGTCAAAATACCAGCGACATTTTCCACAGAATTAGAAATGTATATGGAACCACAAAAGACCCCAGATAGCCACAGCAGTCTGGAGAAAGGAGAACAGAGGGACGAAGCTGGAGGGATCATGCCGCCAGATAACACAATACAAGTCCATGGGAATTAGAACAGCATGGCACTGACATAAAAACTGATAAAAGGGGGGACACCGAAAAAACTGGCATTCATTTATTTTTAAAAATGTGTATTTATTCTTACATGTTTAAACTTCAGTCGCCCATTTGATACCATACACCTATCCCGGCGTTTTCCCCACGGCTCAAAACAGCATTTGAACTTGTCGATGTTGTTGCCCTTCAGCGCTTCTGCCATCTTTTTGTTTCGCTCCTTCCACATTGCAAAACCATTTCCCTTTAAGGACTTTTTCATCTGAAATTGGGTGAATAGGGAGGGTGGGGTAAAGGGGGTCATGCTGTTTTTGGTAAAAAACTGCTGAACACTCAGCTTGGTGTGGGCAGTGCACTCGTAAATCACCGTCACAAATTGGGCAAACACATTGAAAGAGTCTTACAAAAAATTCACCAACACTGAACGCAGCCTCTCACAACAACGCCAGCTGGTGCACTGATACAGATGGGTTTCTACAACTCTCTCCTAGTGGGGGAAGCCTGGGCTACAAGGGACCTCTCCTCCAAAAGATAATTCTGGTTTTTGGGGGTCCCCTCCTCGCACATAGATAAATGGGACAGAATTGAGAGCCCAGAATAAGCTGATGCCAATATGATCAATGAACCTATGACAAAGGAGGCGAGAACACCCACTGTGGCAAAAACAGTCTCTTCAATAAATGGTGTTGGGAAAACTGGACAGATACATACAAAAAAATGAAACAACCACTTTTTTTAATACCACATCCAAGAATGAACTTAAAATGAATTACTTAAGTGTAAGATCCAAAACCATAAAACTCCTGGGAAAAAACATAGGCAGTAATCTCTTTTACATCATTCTTAGTAATAATTTTTTTGGATATGGCTTCTTTGGCAAGTGGAACAAAAGGAAGAAATAAACACATAGAACTGCATCAAACTAAAAAGCTTTTCCATAGCAAAGGAAACCACTGACAAAATAATAAAACAACCCACTGAACAGACGGTATTCACCAATGATACATTTGGTAAGAGGTTAATATCCAAAATACGTAACGAACTCATACAGCTTAACCCCAAAACAACAAAAACCAATCCAGGTAAAAAATGGGTAGAGGGCCTAAACAGACACTTCTCCAGAGAGGACATACAGGAGGCCAACGGACACATGAAAAGATGCTCAACGTCACCAACCATCAGAGAGAAGCACACTAAAACCGCGGTGCGATACCACCTCACACCTGTCAGAATGGCTACCATGAATAAATCAACAACAAGTGCTGGTGAGGGGTAGGGGACCGGCTTGTTTTGATCTGGCCAATGTGACTCAGCTCTGCATGGAAAACCTACAGAAGCGAGGTGGTGCCATATCCTCAAACCGAGTTTCCCAGTGGGAATCAGGCCCAGAAAATGCATACAGACCGTTACGGCTTGCTCTCGCTAAAACTCCCCACCCCGGTCTGAAACAGTAGATGTGCATTGTCTGTCTTCAAGGTAGTTCCCAAAGCCCGTGTGAACTTTCTTAAGAATGGAGCTCATCAGGTCGCCACCTTTCTCTTCTGCATGTATTATTTTTGTGTCCTTGATTGTCCCTAAAATGTGGACAACAACATTCTATGTAGTAGATAATAAATCCTTCTCTGATGTAAGGCCCGAGAAAAGCAATAAAAGCCTGTCCAGGCGAGGGTCGGGCACTCTCCCCTTGAGAGAGTGGCCGTGCCGTCCCCTTTCCCCCACAGGATTGCTGTCGCCTGTGCATTTGTTCTCGTCTCCAGTCACAGCAGGCGGACTCTGCGGGCCGGAGGCTGCCACAGTGCGGTTGTAGAGACAAGGGAACCCTCGTGCACTGTTGGTGGGAGTGCAGACTGGTGCAGCCCCTGTGGAAAACAGTGTGGCGTTTCCTCGAAAAACTGAAAGTGGAATTGCCTATGACCCAGAGAGTCCACTTCTGGGAATATATCCAAGGAAATTTTAAACACCAATTCAAAAGCATATATGCACCCCTATGTTCACGGCAGCGTTCCTTACAATGGCCAAGATCTGGAAGCAGCCCACGTGCCCATCGGTAGATGCGTGGATAAAAAAGCTGTGGCACATTTACACAATGGAGTACTACTCAGCCCTAGAAAAGAAGAAACCTTACCGTTTGTGACAGCATGGACGGACCTGGAGCGCATTATGCTCAGTGATATACGCCAGTCAGAGAGAGACAAGTACCACACGATCTCACTTATATGTGGAACCTAATGAACAGAATAAACTAACGAACAAAACAGAAACAGACTCATAGACACAGAGAATAGATTGACAGCTGTCAGAGGGGGGCGCTGGATGAGAAAGGTGAAGGAACGAAGCAATCCCCCCACCCCCCAAAACCCCCTCAGACACAGACAACAGGATGGTGACCGCCAGGGGGAAAGCTGACATGGGGGGTGGGGCACGGGGGGTCAGTGGTGACGGAAGGAGACTTGACTTGGGCTGGTGAGCACACAAGACGATGTGCAGGTGATGTGTTACAGAACCGTGCCCTGAAACCTACGTAACTTTATTAACCAACGTCACCCCAGGGGATTCGATCAGAAAGAGCATTTCAGGCCTGGAAGAAACGGCCACACCGTCCTCCAAAGCGGCCACGCCACTTCACGTTGCCACCAGCAGGGAGTGAGAGCGCTTCCTGCTGCACAGGCTCACCAGCATGTGCGGGTGTCAGCGTTCGGGACTGTGACATTTCAATAGATGTGCGTGTGTGTGTGGGGGGGTATCTCCTTGTTGTTTTACAGGGGGAGTATTTTTTAAGCTGGGAGGTTCTCGTGCAAGTCCACAGGCTGCGGGGAAGGAGGCAGTGGGGAGCGACAAAGTGCTGTGGGGAGAAAGGAGACAAAGGCAGGAACGGGGCGCTGAGGAGGGAGGGGAGCTGGGGACCCTGGGGGGGCAGTCTTAGGTAGCCGCTGGGGCCTTTGGTTCCCTGTGCCAGGAGAGAGGGGGCAGGGAAAGGGTGTGGATTGGGGGTGGAAGGTCGGAGTGCGTCTGACGGCTGTGTGCAGGAGGCGCGTGGCGGAGCCCTCTGCTGACCGTGACGTGAGCAGAAGGACGGGTCGGGAGGGGGGTCCGTGGAGAAAGAACAACCCACACGTGGGCCCTCTCGTGCAGCAGACTTCCTGGGGGCGGAGGACTCCGTGGCGGCGCTCTCTGCGGCTGCACGGAGTCCTGACGCGGGCTCGAGCCTTCCCTCAGGGCGGCCACAGCCCTCGCTCGTGACTCTCCGAGGAGTCTGGGGACAGGACGGAGAGCTGGGTCTAGTCTCAACTCCGTCATGAGCATCTCCTGGGTGAACTTGACTGCGGAGGCCCAGTGCCCCACTTGAGCTTCCTCTGGGCGGGGCCTGGCTGAGGTTCCAGATGGCTGTGCTACCCTAAGCCATGGCCCCTCCCTCAACTTGTGTGTGTGTGAGGGGGTGGGGCCGTTCCTCCTCTGAGTCGGCCGGCAGAGAAGCCCTACTGCGCAGTCTGGACTCGCTTACCACCTGCCGAAAGAGGAAGCGGGGCGGGGAGGGCTGCTTCCTCCCCTTCAACCAACCTCAGCTCAGAGACCAAGCCACATGCATGGGACCCTCTGTCCTCACCCGGTGCTCAAAACCACTCATTTCTTTCCTCTTTCAGCCTCTGTTTAAGCCACCATCGCTCATATCTTCACCCTGCTAGACTTCTTATGGGCAAGGGGTCAAGGCCCTGGGGTCACCGCAGTCCTGCAGAGCCCGGACCGTCCTGTAACTGGGCGCAGGTCCACCTGCCTGCTGCTATGGAAGTCAATGCTCAAGAAGCAGGTGCCGATCTCAATGAAAGGGGTTTATTTTCAGGTGCCAGCCACCAGGAAAATGGGGGACTCGTGTCTCAGAGCCCATCTCCTGGGAAGATGGAGGACTCAGACCTCAAAGCCCATCTCCTCCTCTTGGTGCAGGCAGAGGTTTTATAAGGAGGGAGAAGGGACAGAACACAGAGATCAGGGGAGGGGGTTGCAAAGTTCTCTACACGAAGAACGGCACCGTCCCGTCCAATAAGGCAGGTGACGGTCCCGTGTGCATCATGCTGGTTTAGTCACCTCCCTTCATGTCATCCTGGCTCCATGGATGAAGGTCATCAAATGCCCCAGAGCTGGGATGCTTGAGGTTCAGGGTCTATATCTTCTGAAGTTAGTTCCTAGGATTCTTCTATAAACATGCTGTTCATCTACAAGCTACATAATAGTCAGAGTCGGCATTTACAGAAACACTATCAGAGGAATGATGGGGCGGGTTATAATTTCCCACTGTTATAATTTTCCACTGTTACAAATCCCCACCGGCAATTTTTCTTCCATATTTATGAAAGTTAGATGATTGTAGTCAAAATGTTTCAGAAAGCTAGAAAAATTCAGGATCCAGTATAGTTCACCAGTGAAAAGTAAGATTTTTACAATTTACTGAATTAGAGATTAACATCCATAACTGCGTATAATAGATTCTATTGAAACACAATTTTTTG